CAATGCTGTTCAAGCAAGATCATCAAATGCACATCCACATTGCAGTGATTTCTTGGATGCCTACAATGAGTTGACCTAAATTAACACTACAAAAGTCGCAATATCCGAATACCCTGGAACTGCTAAACAGTAATTAGGATCTCTTTTGGATTAAGCAATTGCATTTTTCGATGGCAAATGTTGTAAACAACTTTTCCACATTTGCACTTAATAAACGAAAGAAACACTTGGCCCGTATGGTAAACAAATAAGTTGGAAATAATTCAAGCATCATAAATCATGTAGAATGTTTGAACAAAGGTTTGAAATGCAAAACACCATAATGAAATAGATGAATCTGTATGCGGATAGTGCTGAAAAATGCACATAACATGATATTCATGATGTAAAGAAATGCATTTTCCGGTCAAAAGCAATCCAAGGTTTACTTGTTATTGTTGCCTCGGGTTGTCTATCTTTTATTTTCCCTTGGTAAGCATCGCTTCCTCTTACCAATTAGAAACGATTAGAATAAAACAGAAAAAGAGAGTTCTTTCGGTTCTTGGATAAGCATCGTAATAAGCGGGTTCGGGTCGCTTCCTCCACTTTTATTCCAAAAAAGGACGAAAGAACTTTTTCAATATCTCTCTATTGAAAAAAAGACTTGCAAACTTTGGTGTCATCTCCCACACTAGTGACGAGATGAAAGATTCTTCACATGTGGCGCCAAATCTATGCAAAATCTCTCAATGATAGCCAGTCGTGATCTTAACCAATTTATATTCTTTCGCTCCCGTAAGCATCTGGCATTGAAGCAACCCTAAGGGTGTGCTTTTTTGCACTCACTTTTCAGCACAAGCTGACCTACCAGCACTTGTGTTCCATAGTATATTGATATATTCCATGGTATAAGCATGGAATTCTAATTCATATTCTGACTACACGAGGCATTCAGCCTTAAACCAGCATTCAAATATGGTAATACTCCTAAAAGTTTCACCATGAACAGGTTGTCGCGGTTAAACGGGCGTGTGTCAGCTTCAGGCAACGGAAACCTTTCTATTGTTAGGCATTTTCTTCACTTATGGACCATCCGCCAAATCTGATAATTTCAAATCATCAGTTTTCAAAAACGCCGGCTATGTTTGTACACTGCAATTACGACTCCATCCGAACTTGGGTCAAAGCACACTTCAGCCGATTCACTTTTCAGACTTTCAATTTAAGACATATTTTTACATTTTCTACATATCCAACTACTTCGAATCCTGAAAAAAAACAACAAATCGTTCTCAGGTTTAGACGCACCCCGTGCTTGATGATGATGTAGACATACAAAAACGCCACCGTCCTGTGCCAAACGTAGCGCTAACTGTTAGACCAAGTAAAACAAAGCGGCCACAACGCACACCACCAACATCGGTACGCAGTCCACGGTTGTCAAATGAGATTCAGTCAGTCACTTTCATTTCACTGATTGATGATGTAAACCGACGGAGGTCAATTATGTGGGTCCATTCTAATTCTAACTACATTCATACGGAATAAATACCAGAACAAACAGACAAATGCATACTCTAGGTGGTTTTGTTTCCAGATCAGCTAGGTTGGATAAAATCACTATCAAATGTGAAAAAGTGTGTTAGTGACAAACTACATTTTGCGTTATCTGCTGAAAGCTAAATCGTGGAAAGCTCTATGACAACTCTACTAATTCGACAAGTCGGATGACTCGTTTAGAAAACAGGATATCTGGATTCGGTTCCGTTTTCAGCTTGCGTAGGCAAATGGCTATTGTCTCAGATAGTTTTACTGTTTCTCTCCAAATGAACTTTGCCAAGGTGGATGAAAGTAAATATTTTATCCGTTTTAACGAAGTGCTTTGTCTCGACAAACTGGGAACTCAAAACGTTCCATTCCGCGTGGGCCTCATTCACTGATTATTTTGGATGAATGTAAATTGAAACCACTTTGTATCAGGTCATTCATGACTATTAGCCAAAGGTCAGTAGGTGGGCAGTGAAACTGATAATTGTCCACAGTTGAAGGATGATAACATTAAGAGACTGTCTATAGAAGAGGACTGATTTGCCAATCGCCAGAAAACACGGTGGTTGATTGTCTGAAAAACGTCGACGTTAGTCCTGGTTACTATTTCAGTGATGTACCATGTATAGATAGCATAGTGTCTGAGAAGGACAACACGGAATCCCTTATGAATGAGGAACGTAGATTCTCTATCTCGTGATTTCATTCGAGTTACTTGGCCTTGAAGCCAGTAGCTCGTATCTTTTCCGTATCTCCTTAGTTCGTATCTATTTAACGTTTAGACACCATCAACAATTTGTCTTGAATACAAGTATAAAGTTGTCAATAGCTTAAACCAAGATTCAGGGATAATGTGATCTCAGGAAAAGTTTAACACATTTTGTTGTGAAGCAAGTTTCTGTAGAGATCAGCATTGCGTGGTTGTTGTGCACTTGTTGAGACTCGTCAGAAGCAGACAGAATTTGGACACCTCAAACCGAGACTTATAAAGCACTACACAAACCACGGTGTCTGTGTGTGCGCGAAATCAAAACACATCTCGGCACATTCATTGTTTCTTCCCGGTGTTTGTTGTAAAACTCCATGTACTGGGTCGGAATTTAGAGTGATTTGAGGGTCAACCAAATCGGTTGAAAAAGATGGTTTTTATACAAATTAGGAAATGATGGTCTATCTTCGAAGGCTTTTGATGATGCAGAAAAAGGAAAAAAACAACTTCAAAGGTACATTCATCGTGTATATAGCAAATTAAACATAGACTGAAAAGCTAGGAAGCAGTAGTCGCCTGTTTCGACCCCGTTGGGCTTCATCAAAAGTGCCAATCCATCGACCCGAAAGGGGATCAAACCCGGGATTAGAATGTGTCTGCCAAAACCCTGCCCAGTCCAAATGAACTCATTTCTTCGAAAATGAAAAATGTATATTTTGAGTGTGTTGCCGAACGGGAATGAAAGCTTACGTGTGGTGGGGTGAAGTGGGTTGTCCGTCCCCCCTACCGACCCACTCTGAAACGTTATTTTGTTGATCGCTGATCGGGTGTGCTTCAAAGACGTGAATGGACGAGCGTGGCGGCAGCTGACCTTTGTCCGTTGGGTAAGACAGCGAATCACGTCAGGATGGATCGATAAACCGGTCACCATGCTCAGACGTGAATGTTGGGATGATTCATGCATGAGTGGAATCAATTTAGAGCCTTAATATCCTAGTGAGTGAATTCCATTGAGGCCGTGATTCCTTCAAATATCAAATATCACCAATTCCTTTAAATCAAATGCGACAGTCTACTTATTTCTGGTATCGAAATGTGCACTCGACAAGATACTTAAGAATGGTATATGGATACAGTGATAGAATTAACGGTGTTTCACCTGAATAGTAAATCAAATTCGAGCCTATTCACTGGCTAACTCACATTTTTCTCTGTCAGTCACCCAGCTGGCTCAAATAATACCTTTGTTTGTCTTTTGAGAAAATATACTTTTTCCACTTCAGGTGAAACCTTTGGGACCTCCAGTGATTCGTCGTAACTTCAAGTGAATCTGATTAATCGCGGTCCATTGGGAACCATACAAGTTGATTGGTGTTCCGGTCGTCAAACATCCTAGACTGTATTTCAAAGGAGATGTTTGTCGTGTACATAACTAATGAAGCGTGAACTGAAAGGCTAGGAAGCAATGGTCAGCTGTTTCGACCTGGTTAGTTCTCATCGGCAGTGTAAATCCTTCGACCCAAATAGGGATCGAACCTGGTGCCTCGTGGGCAGAACACAAGCATGCTACCTTTTCGGCCACCGGGTAGCTGATCAGACCGTTTATCAATGCTTCCTGGCTTTTCGGTTAACGATTCATTTGCTATATACACTACGAATTCACGTTTGAAATGGAATCAAATCCTCCAATACTCACTTGAAAAAATCCGCTAGCATTTATTCAGCTCAGCAATGAATCGAATTTGTTATGCGTTTGATTGAATAAACCGCATAAGGAGGAGGAGCAGGGAACAGATAAACAATGCAAATAAAATAGGTAGATCGAATTGCACGAAATTTGATACCCGTCACGCATATAATTTATTGACGAACAAACTACTTTTCTATCACAGCAATTTGCTTTGCTAACTCACAAATGTTACGAAAGAAGTACTGGTGAACTGACCTTTAAGTGGAACTGATTAAGGGTATGGGGTAGCGAGCCTAATCTTTGTTCTCGTGAAGGAAAATCCACTTCACTGAATAATGAAGCTGCCTTCCATCAATGATGGGTAAAGCCATAGGTTCACTATGTCAGTTTCCAATCGTCCACATGAAATACGCATGTGTAAAGACAAGACATGTCGTTATACAAACGAGTATGTATGCGTATTTCTGTTGGGTAAGTGTGAAGGTGGTGACTGAAGTCCAAGAAAACAAGCTAGCCAACTTGAACTTTTTTGATGTCTTATAGAGATTTCTCGCTGGAAACGATAACAACGCAAAACGGAAAACAAACTTTCCTAGTGAAAGCTGTTCTGTTCATAATAGTGACACGTGAACCCAAGCTTACTGGCAATGTTCTAATTATGGGTGTCTACATTCTGAGGCACTTTTATTCCAACACTTTTACTTTTTCTACTTGAACTCACTCAATTGGGTATCACACATCACTGGTGTAATGTGTTCCAGGATCAATAGTAATAATCTACTAATAATGTATATACCACCATGACACAGAGTGAGTACGATTGGTTGATATTCTCCACGCTATTTGGGTGAGCTTATTTTGTACTCTTGTTCAACCAATCAGGATGTCGAACATGCTGCCGAGAAATATCTCGATCTTAGAAACACGCCCAAGCCACATTCATTCGTGTGAAACAAGACAGTTCGTCTGTAATTTAATGAGCTCCGAGTCCGGATGATAACTCCGAGAGAACGGGAGAAGCAAACAAGAGCCGTGAAAGACAAGTTAGCATGTCATTTGGCCAGTCTACACAGAATGATTGGTGAGTTCAGCAGACGGAAGACCATCAACCGTTTGATGATTTTATGCGATATGTGGCAGCCAAGGTTAGGTTTCAAAACACTAGAAAACCCCGATCGAATCTCGAGTTATAGCCAGATATTCGGTTTACACCGATTTAAAGTTGCAGTACACCATGCATTATTGGTATTTGGTATTCACTATTGCGTATTGATATTGCGTAATTGATATTGTAAGATTTCCAGCATTGTGGTAAATTGACCGGTAACACATCCAATATAAACACGTAACCCATTTTGAAAGTGAGGTCAGGACAGACGTGGTACATGATTATCCATTCGGGTCTCAAAAGCCAGATCGTTGCTCAATACCTTCATGTTTGATCTCAGTCTTCTCGGGTCACAAATTTACCTGTTTCTACTGCAAAATCAAAACTACCGTTCAGTTTAAAAAAATAAATGAAGTTTTCGTCTTACCTTCAAATAAATACCAGAAACCTGGCAACGGTTTGCGGTGATTTCTCAACACAATTTTAGAAGTCATGCAGATATTGAATTACTTGGTATAAAGAGCAAAGAAAATGTGAACCGGTAATCTGGGAATCCCCGTGCAACGGTATGGACCAGGTCGGGATCTTACAGGTAGAACACCAGCGTACCGTATGCTTGACTGCATAGAGCCGTTGACCTCATTTTGTTTCATTTTGTCCATATAGCACACACAACACACTCAATCTTTACAAGTTTGTTTTGGACATCTCAAACGGACAAACACATTGACCAGATTTTAATTATCGCCTATCTGGATACGTTGATCGTACGCCCAGGCTCTTATCCGATCGCGTTTGCGAACACCACACGGCTTTTCTGAGGACAGGAACAATTAGGACAATTACGAACGTGCTGTATTCAAATCTCGTGACAACTGATTTACAAGATTCGATGTCAGCAGTCAAGAGAAGTGAAGCATCGTAACCTCGGCACGGTTGTAGTATTCGTATTCACAAGTCCCTGCCCCCGGGGAATCTCGCGTATTGGGAATGTCATCATCACGTGGCTAAACAACAGGATACAACACAAGTATCAAAAACAATAGAGACCGGTAGTCGGACAGCCTTGCTCCATGTTTGGGCGTTTGGGTAACTTGCAGAAAAGTATAGAGGCAGAGGAGGCCTTTTATTTAGAGGAATATCGCCGAGAGCAAAAAGGATGATTTGAAATCGTACTGTAAAGTGCAGTCCAACAGGTATGTGATTTATTTGGACAAATATTTGCGAAAACTCCAGTTAAGCTTCTCGTATAAGTTTTGAAAATCGTCGTAGACATTTCAATAGTCGATCGGTTTGGCGGAAGCAATATGATTTATAAGTGTAATTACTGATTTTTCTTCTATCTTCATCGTAAAACACGGATAGTAATTGCTTTTTGCTTGATTAGATTATGTTCTTTATTGTGCAATATACCAATATCAAGTAGCTCATGGAGCGTTATTAAATTTGCTTTATAGTCAGCCTTTTGTAATAAAGAGTAGCAAACCCACTTCAGACAGTTCGTACGACGGGGTGGAAGCTCATCAGGCTCGTCGTTGTAAAGCAGCGCATCGATGTCTTCAATGGATTTCTGAGATTCTGGTTACGTAATGAAATATTGCAAAATTTTAATGGAGTTAGGAAGATTATTGATTCAGAAACTCGAGAGCTGATACTCTAGAGGTTACTTTTGACGTGCCTCGTTGAACTCTTCCCTGTATCGGCTGTTGCACATCCTCAAGCAGCAATTACTCCCTCCTTTGATCTTCTGACAAATCAGCAAGATAAAATGTAATCGGTTCCGTTGCACTGCCGCATATTAACGTTTCTCAATTGAATGATTGATTCATAGAACTGTCAGCGATCTCCCTATTACTTTGTTGTTGCAGTTTGGAAAGGGACCAATGAACTGTATATACTCTGTAGCTGTTCAAAGGATGTGATGGCTGTTACAATAGACTGCTTCAGGATAGCAAGATTATGTTGAACTTATTATCTAAAGTGTTGAGCGAAGCGTTCTCCAAGTAGTCTTGGAGAGTGATGCAGTTGATTTAATGCCCAAGTTAGTCATTTTTTGTTGAAAAATAGTTTTCGTCTTAACTAACACCATAGTACAGAGTTGCTAACAAGAAGAGGAAACATATTGGTGAACGCTTCATATTTTCCAGCACAGCAATACGTAGACACTTTCACAAATGTAGGTCCCTTAGTGAGGACGCAAAACAACAGAAAGAAAGTATAGGATTGTTTAATGCGCGTGTGCTTCAAAAACATCTCGATACCACCGTTCCAAACGCGGAAGTCAACCAATGATTTGTATAAATAAGGGAGATAGATAGCTTGCGCTAAGACCTCACGCATGGTGGTAGTTTATTCAGCTATGACGCATATGACTGAGTTCCGGTAAATGGTTCAAGCGCACGATCGAAGAAGAAACACATGCCCAAGGCTGTACAGGACGCATTTGAAGATTATGCAAATTAAACATTTCCATCATGATCATTACAAAATCTAGTGTACGGAACAGGGGATAACATGTATTGATGACCTATCCACGAAGCGTGGGTTGGAGAGCAAAGTAGGACACCTGATAGTATGCTCACTAATGCCTACAGAAAACTCCTTAACATTATGAATTAACTGTGCAAAAAGTTATGCATACGTTTATGTATATTTATTTATCTGTCTTTCAAGAGCTCAGACGGTTTCCAACTCTTGCACGGACGCCATCGACACAATTTGCTACATTCACCCTACTGCTTGAACCTCGAGAAACATCCATAGATTCACCAGTTAGGTAATTGCAGTTTTGGCCATGTAGCGCGTATCCTGTAACAAATGAGTGGGAAGTATTCCTGAAGAAATAAAAATTGCATTCAAATCCAGTCAGATGTTCAAACTTTTACCGCACATGGCAGGCAGAGCAAAATTACCCCTATTAACAAGGAAGAATACTGCACGGAACTTGTCTCCGAATTAGCATCGGATTAATACGGGAACCATCTTAAACCTAAACATATATACAGTTAGCCATAATAATACGAGATGTCGAGCTAAATAAATGATTTCTGGTGGATCAATACAATTTAGAATTTATTCTCTATATGACACCTAGGTAAAACATTGTCTCCAATAAATAGAAAAAATTGCAGATATGAGAAAGAACTGGACAGCACATTAATTCGCAATGCAGATTCATATCATCCAAGATACTGCTCGAGCTAATACATTATCAATTCTATTTCATTCTTTGTGAATGTGGCTTAAGTATACGCGTCATTGAATAAAATGCACATCACACTTTCTATTGGTTCCACGGAGAGCTAACTCCGAAATTAAAAATTCCAACTTTGTTTCATTATCAACAGATCGAGGCATTCGTCAGGAATTCGATAAGATCGAAGAAAATTTAACCACTGAATGGGTCAATCAACTGCAACAGGGAAGTCGTATTCCGCCGTGTGACCGACCCTCATTTGACGAGCGAAGACGGGAAGCCGTAAGAAACATGAACGCTGCAATCTCGGAAGAATTGCAAAGAGATCACAGCGAATGTGGCCCAACGGTGTCCAATCTGAATCGGGTTTCCAAACGGGAGAATCAAGCATCGTATAGTGATGTGGAAACAGAGCTTTTCGACATGGTCGAGGACGATCTTTTCTCCGTTCGTGAGAGTGTGAATAGCTGGGTGACCGGGGGAGAATCCTCTTTCACTGCGGTCACGGATGCATTAGTGATTCTCTATGTGAGAGCTTGTCGTCGACGAAAAGAACGCGTCAGAAAGCCAATCAAGAACCGTCTCGCACATATGTGTACGGACACCAATTACAATCTTCGCGAGTTGGATATGAACGCGCAACAATTCGGACCACTTTCAGACGTGATCAGGGTCAGTTTTTAAATATCCGTGACATATAAACAAAAATACCATCATAATTGATTTTCTTTTGCAATGCCCTGGTTTTGGAGTTTCCTGGCTTGAATTTCATGATGAGAATCCCATATACAAGCTGTCAAATGAATAAGAAAAATCCAAAAGACTGAAGTACACAAAATACTATCAAAACAACACGTAAAATAGTGTATCGCTAAAACAATGATTGAATCATTAATTATTTTTTCATGATCAGAGTACTCATGGATTTTCTGTGATTTTATTACCATTTTGATAAATTTTCGGTATCAAATGTCATCTAAAATATTTTCACAACGCAATCACAGGATATGCTATGGGATGAAAGGTTTGCGTAACAAAATAGATCCGCGTAATTAATTTTTTTTTCATTTTACTTTCTTTCAATGAATACTCAATGATAACATTTTCAGGAAGGGGGAAGCGGTCAATCAAAGGGCTGCCATACAACACACCTAAATGGAGAAAGTCAGGCGATAGTGATGGGATTCGAACACATCCCTGGAGTGATAATTTGGTGACGTTACCACCGGACCACCACCGCCCATTACATGACAGTGCACGAGGTTTTCACGAAATGTAACCCTGATACTTTCAATTCATATAGTAGAATGAGAAAGCAAGTGTCACCTGTACTCGTTTAACAAATTTATTGCGGATTACAATAATTGTATGGCAAAAAAACAGAACTTACTTTCGAAAAATATGAGCGTTAGAACTATTAAACTTGATGTGAACACATCTTAAAGTCTTCATTGCTTCGATTAGTGGGCCACAATGTTTGGTCAACAAGGGTGCTATTATAATTAAACCAACATATATATGGTATGCCTAACACCAGTCATTCGGTTGATGAAAGGCCGTTTGTTTCATTGATCTGTCACAATGTGAAAATTTCTAGGAAGGAAAAAAATACGCATTGCTGACGAGTTCCAAAAAGGACGAAACGGTTGTCCGGTGCTCTTTGTTGGTTATCGCGAACATTTTAAACCGCATTTAAATGCATTCAACTAGTGGGTAATAACCGATCCCCCCAGTAGTGAAACCCACATCCAAGNCAACAGTGCCTGGTACCTGCGAAAACCCGATTGGGCTAATCCTAATATTCTGGTTCCATGTTGGTGTAGTCAAATAGTCTAAACTTGATTGCGTCAGCCCTACAAAGTTGAATAACACTTACTGATCTGGAGGATAAAGGTGGAGTGTGATAAACGAATTTGAACGCCAGGCTAACAAGATCATTTACTTGCCAAAACATCCAGGTACACTCTACCAACTGTGGGTGAATTCCTGAAGTAAACATTCATTCAATCAGTCACTAATTAACAATTGAGGAGTGTTTATAATCTCAGCACAATTCAGTTACGTCATTAATTTTGACATGGACAGAGCAACGGGAGTGTGAACTGAGCGCCTAGGAAGAACTATACGGCAATTTCGATTTGCTTGGCTCTAATCAGCAGTGCTCCTCTATCAAGCAAAAGATTTCCCACTAAATGGTCAAGTTATTTGTGATTTCACTACGTATTTCTTCAACGATCGGTTAGTTGAATCTAATCACATTTAACAAAAACCAATACATAACCCTTACAATCATTGGCAGAGATTTTTCAGCCTAATATGTGCAAAACAGAGATGATTCAAGGAATAACAAAAATTACGAATGGAAGCTAACTTAAAAGGTTGTCAAAAGTGGAACCATGAGGCAAATAATGGAATCGGGTTTAGTAGAATAACTCTAAATAACATTTGAAGAAAAATTGTAAAAATCAAGTTAATCCACCTAATTAGTATTCACTCGATAACGCCTTTCTGTTTAGTCAAATTTAGACCTGTCTACAAGGATTTATCAAAATGATGCAATTTTCATACGAACTGTTCTCAACGATATATTCAAGATAGCCTCCTCTTACTCTCAAGTTCGGCACACCCAAATACATATAAATGTGATGAATAAAACCAGTGCACCGACAGTCATAACACGATTCGGGTGGTTTGGAGGGGGGGGGGGTGATCAAACTTGATATG